AAATCACTTTTTGTAAGGGTGGAAAAGGGCTGCTTACAATCTGGGTTAATCTTCAGAGGAATAGGGTCTGAAGGATTAACGGTGTAACGGGTCAGGGATAGGGATCCGGGCTGAAAAACTCCTCTTGTACTTTCTTCGAGTCTTCGTTTGTGTCAAGCTGCTTGATAGGAAAAATAATCAAATAAAAAGAGTCTCCTATATCTCAGTGAAGTACTGAGTCTAGGACGAGGACGTACCCGTAGCTTGGGGAACCTCGTTAACTTGGCTGCGTTCTCTCTTTTTCTTGCTGTTCGAACTGAACTTCCCCTTCTGCTTCTGTCTCTGTTTTTCCATCTTCCCCTGCTTCTGGAATAAGTCTCGTCTCAAGGTTGAAGACGAGTTCCAACTGAAGTGAGCGGGCTTAAATTGTGGGCTACAGAAATAAGAAATAAGTGGGCTCTTGTCTAATTAGCCAATGGGCCGCCAATTCAATTTCTGAGCCCAAGCATTTCAGTCTGCTTATACCAAAAGGAAGATCGAGATTCTTCTTCACTCTGAAACACTTTCGTCGTTTTCATTTCATTTTACCTTCTTCTCTCTGATGAACCCTAGTTCCCTTTCTCAGTCTAGGGATTTCAATTGGTATCAGAGCTGGTCCTTGAGGAAGGTAGCTCCTGCCAAGGCAAAGATCAAATGGCCTCTTCCTCTTTCGGCCAAGCCACACTGAATCATCCTCCAATTTTCACCGGTTCGAATTATACCGCGTGGAAGAAGAGGGTGAAACAGTTTATGTGGGGTGTTGATGAGGATTTGTGGTTAATTGTGCAGGATGGGCGAATCGATGCTAAGGTAGAGGAGCACCATCTATGGTCTGCTGCTCAGAAGAAAAGCGCGCAGCTGAATCAACGGGCGATGCATGTGCTTCAATCAGCCATGAACCCAGATGAAGCTGACCAAGTCGAGAACTGTGAGACAGCCAGAGAAATCTGGATGGCCCTAGAAAGCACATACGAAGGTACGTCAAATATTAGGGAATCTCGTATTGATCTATTAGTTCATGAATATGAGGCATTTGGGATGTTAAATAACGAAAGCATTCATGAAATGTACTCACGATTCACCGTCCTAATTAACAAATTGAAGGGATTAGGAAGAACTTTTCATACTAAAGATCTCAATAGGAAGATTTCTAGGTCTTTACCTAAAGAATGGTTGCCCAAGCGTACTGCAATCGAGGAAGCAAAAAATCTAGCCATCTTACCCATAAATGAGTTAATAGGGTCCTTATTGAGTCATGAAAATGTGATTAGACTGGTAAATCAGGACGATGATAAAAGAAAGAAAAACTTGGCTTTTAAATCCAAAGTGGTAGATCGGGAATCTGATAGTGATTCAGAATCAGACTTTAACAAAGAATTTTCTCTTGTAAGCAAACGGTTTCATCGCATGCTGAAATACAAAAATGAAAGAAGAATAAGATATGATGAATTACGTAAGCAAGGTCAGGATTACACTAATAACTATTCTCAAGCTAAGCTGCCTCATCAGCAGACCAGGAAATTTGAGACAGGTACACAGGAGAAAGATCCTCAAACCTGTTACAAGTGTGGCAAAAATGGGCATATTCGGGCAAACTGTCCATTGACCCTGAAAGCTAAGGAAAGAGCAATGAAGGCATCATGGAGTGATTATGATTCTGAGGGAGAAGAAAACTCAGTAGATGAAGAAGCCTTCATGGCAAGCACAAATCAACCAAAAGACTACATTTCAGATGAGAATGATCATAAATGGTATTTAGACAGCGGGTGCTCACACCACATGTCTGGTAAGAAAGAACTATTCTCCTCTCTAACATCTAAAGATGGTGGTAAAGTTATGTTTGGTGACAATGGTTGTGGTAATATTGTGGGAATTGGTACTATAGGAGGATCCCCCTATCCTACCTTTCATGATGTGCTGCTTGTGAAAGGTCTAAAACACAATCTTTTATCAATAAGTCAACTTTGCAGTAATGGAAATCGAGTAGTCTTTAAATCTGATGCTTGTTTAGTTGAAAGGATAAACGACAACAAGATTCTTCTTGTTGGCAGTCGAGTAAACAATATGTATATCATAGACCTGCATAACCTTGAAGCCTTTCATGAAATGTGTTTTGTTGCTTCATACCAACAAGAGCTATTGTGGCATCGCAAGATGGGACACATCAGTTTACCTAAACTTGTTAGCTTATCTAAATCAGAATGTGTCAGAGGTGTCCCTATGTTGAAACAGAAAAATGATTTCTTTTGTGAGGCATGCATTGCTGGAAAACACACTAAGAAAACTTTCAGACCTAAAGCTGATATAACTTCTCATCAAATGTTTGAATTAATTCACATGGACCTGTTTGGACCATGCAATGTGACTAGTTTGGGAGGTAAAAACTATGTGTTGGTTCTGGTTGATGATTATTCCCGATACACTTGGGTTTTCTTTCTTGCTCACAAGGATGAGGCAGTAAAGAAGTTCCAAGTGTTTGTCAAACAGTACCTAGGACAAATTAGAAGTATAAGGAGTGATAATGGTGGTGTTTCGTGTCTGAGGAGTTTGAGAGTCTTTGTAATGACTCTGGGATAACTCACAGTTTTTCAGCTCCTCGCACTCCTCAGCAAAATGGAGTTGTCGAGAGGAAAAACCGCACTATTATTGAATGTGCTCGCACAATGCTTCTTGAGTATAATCTGTCAAAATCTTTCTGGGCTGAAGCTGCCAGCACAGCATGTTACATCCTAAATCGAGTGCTTGTCCGAAAAGGGCTAATGAAAACTCCCTATGAGATTTTCATAAACAAAGCACCCAACATTAGTTATTTCCATCCCTTTGGGTGCCCCTGCTTTGTTCTTAACACTAAGGAGTACCTTGGAAAATTCGATGCTAAGTCTGATGACGCTATTTTCCTAGGTTACTCCATTAAAGGACAGGCATATCGTGTTTATAATAAGCGAACAAAAAGGGTGGAAGAGTCAGTTCATGTTAAATTTAATGATTCTAATGGTGGTATTAAGGTTTCTGGACAGGATTTACTGTCATTTGATCTACTAGAATTAACAAGAGAAACACCCGATAATGAAACTACTGCTGATGGCCCACTCAAAGAGCAGAACAATGTGCAAGCATTTGGTGATCAGAATTCTCAGACAGAAGCTGTTGATAAGCTGCAGAAAAATGACACAATAAACGAATCTCAGCCTGCAGCACCTCCATATATTCAGAAACGCCACCCAATGGAACAAGTGATAGGAGATGTCAATGCTGGGATCCAAACTCGAGGAAACAGATACACTCCAGGTCAGTATGCTTACATTTCTCAAGTAGAACCCAAAAACTATAGAGAAGCTCTAAAAGATTATGGTTGGTCTATTGCTATGGTTGAAGAGCTGAATCAATTTGCTTATTTGCATGTTTGCATGTTTGGGACTTGGTTCCTCGCCCTGAAAATACTAATGTGTTAGGAACAAAATGGGTCTTTAGAAATAAATCAAATGAAGAGGGAATTATCATTCGTAATAAGGCCAGATTGGTGGCTCAAGGTTACTTGCAAGAGGAAGGTATTGATTACGACGAAACTTTTGCCCCTGTGGCGCGTCTTGAATCAATCCGATTGCTAGGTGCTTTTGGCAGTTATATGAACTTTAAATTTTTTCAAATGGACGTTAAAAGTGCTTTTTTAATTGGAGTCATTCAGGAGGATGTCTATGTTGAACAACCGCCTGGTTTCACTGATCATCAGTTCCCTGATCATGTTTTTAAGCTTAATAAAGCACTATATGGGCTCAAACAGGCCCCTCGTGCCTGGTATGAACGCCTAACTTCATATCTTAGGCAAGAAAACTTCACACAGGGAGCTGTTGATAAACTCTCTTCATTAAAAAAGTTTCAGGTGATCTCTTACTTGTTCAGATTTATGTTGACGACATTGTGTTTGGATCCACGAATGAAAAACTGTGCTCAGAGTTCTATGAGTCCATGAAAAATGTGTTTGAAATGAGCATGATGGGAGAATTGAAATTCTTCTTAGGTCTACAAGTTAAGCAAACATCTAGTGGCATTTTTATCAATCAATCCAAATACATCTCTAGCATGTTAAGCAAATTCTATATGACTGCCCTCAATACCAGTCCCACGCCTATGGCAACTAATATTAAACTGGACAAGGATGAAGCTGGAATTCCAGTAGATGAATCCCTTTATCGAGGCATGATCGGCTCTCTTCTTTACTTAACTGCTAGCAGACCAGATATCCAGTATAGTGTGTGCTTATGTGCTCGTTTTCAATGCCAACCTAAAGAAAGTCATCTCACTGCTGTTAAACGCATCTTTAGATATATTAAAGGTACATCAGATGTAGGTCTTTGGTATGGTCAGCAAGAATTGTTTGATCTAATGGGTTATTGCGATTCAGATTTTGCTGGTAGTCTTACTGACCGTAGAAGTACTACTGGTAGTTGTCAGTTTGTAGGCCTTTCTCTTGTATCTTGGTCCTGTAAGAAACAGGGTGCTGTTGCTCTGTCAACAGCAGAGGCAGAGTACATTGCAGCTGGTAGCTCGTGTACACAGCTGCTATGGCTCAAAAATCAGCTCACTGATTATGGGCATACTGTTTCTTCTATACCTTTATTTTGTGATAACACCAGTGCCATTAGTATGGCTAAGAACCCGGTTCAACACTCTCGCACTAAACATATAGAGGTGAAATATCACTTTATTCGAGACCTTGTTCAGGATAATTTAGTTTCGCTGCAATACATACCCTCTGAGTTTCAATTAGCAGATCTTTTTACCAAACCTTTGGCTGCTGATCGTTTTACCTTTTTGTGTCTTGAGATCGGGCTGAGATCTTTATCATCTCTAATCGAGGTGATAGGGAGGTAAGTTTTCCACTTGGTTTCCTTTTTATTTTTTTCCTTTCTTTTCTTCTTGGTTTTCTGTGTGTGTCTTGCGTAGTAATGACTGTTTATGATTCTTACTGCATTTTCGTCCTCTTTGATTTACTGCATTTAGTGTCTTTCCTTTCTCTGTTTTGCTCTCTAGTATTTAACCCGGGTCTTGACTGTTCCTATCCCTTCATCCCTCATATCGTTGTCCTTGCCCATCTCCTCAAAATGGTGTTTGCAATCACCTACACTGGCAATCTTTTTTTCGAGCCTATTCCTGTTAACTACCATCGCCACCTTCAAAATTTTGCCTCTCGTCCATTTCTGGCCTCATATCATATTCCCTTTCCTGAACTAGTGGAACTGGGACTTGATGTGCATAGGTTCGTTCAAAACTTGGGTTGGGAGTTTCTGCTTGATCACCCTTTTTCCTCCTTGGTCTGTCCTGATTTAGTTCGTTACTTCTTCTCAAACTTTCGTTCACCCGGCCTTGCCTCTCGTTCCTTCTCTACCATTGTTTTTGGCCATCTGTTCACTCTCCCTCTCGATGATCTGTCGGATACGCTTCATATCCCTCGAGTTGGAGAAGCTCTGGATGATGCCTCTGAGTTGGAACTGTTTGCCTTTCAATATGCTGAAGAATTTCATCAGCTCACCGGTGTGTTGCCAGCCCCCAACCATATTATGCCTGTATCCTCTCTGCTGCCCTCTCTTCGGATGCTGCATTACTGCATCACTCGAGTCTTTGTCCCTCGAGCTGAATCCTTGGACCTTGTTCCTCCGGTCGATCTTTGGATCATATCCCACGCTGTTCATGGAGTTCCCCTAGATTATGCTCATTTAGTGTTTGGCAGTCTTATGCGGTCCAGTGATGCCTCCTTCACTGGTCCATTTGCCTTGGGTCCCCTGGTCACCTCACTGCTCCTCGAGCTTCGTATCCACCTCTCACCATTTCTCACCATCACACCCTCCCTGTTCCCACCGGCGGGAGCTGTTCTGGATGCGCTGGAGATTGCAATTGAAGGGGAGGATGACGTTATCTGGGTCAGTAGCAGCGGAGATAGCAGCAGCGATGACTCTGGACTGGAGCCTTTTGTCGAATCCCTCCAAGCTCTGCTAGAATATGGCTCTGATGATGACGGTGACAGGGCCTAAAAGACCTTTATTAGACATCTCGCTACTATTGACTGTTTTTCTCTAGTACTGTCGATCTTTGGAGTTTTTGGTATTCCTGTTGGTTGTTTTGACTTTGGTTTTGCTGGATGATTGCTGGATTATGTGTGATTGGACTTTGAACTTTTATGCTTAATTCTTCCTTAGTAGTTCGTTCATAAGTTTGGTCGAGAGAAGGTCTGTTCATTTTGCAGGCAATTGGCAATCTCTGATTTAAGGGGAGATTGTAGAACCAAGTTACCAAATCAGAGTTGCGTCAAAAGAGGAAAGAAGACAGTCAGAGACAGCACAGAACTACCAAGTCTGGTCTGTGTTTGATTTCACAGTGCAACAGTCAAAATCAAGCCATTGGCTATACATACAGTTGAGCTCTGCATCTTTCAAATCACTTTTTGTAAGGGTGGAAAAGGGCTGCTTACAATCTGGGTTAATCCTCAGAGGAATAGGGTCTGAAGGATTAACGGTGTAACGGGTCAGGGATAGGGATCCGGGCTGAAAACTCCTCTTGTACTTTCTTCGAGTCTTCGTTTGTGTCAAGCTGCTTGATAGGAAAATAATCAAATAAAAAGAGTCTCCTAGATCTCAGTGAAGTACTGAGTCTAGGACGAGGACGTACCCGTAGCTTGGGGAACCTCGTTAACTTGGCTGCGTTCCCTCTTTTTCTTGCTGTTCGAACTGAACTTCCCCTTCTGCTTCTGTCTCTGTTTTGCCATCTTCCCCTGCTTCTGGAATAAGTCTCGTCTCAAGGTTGAAGACGAGTTCCAACTGAAGTGAGCGGGCTTAAATTGTGGGCTACAGAAATAAGAAATAAGTGGGCTCTTGTCTAATTAGCCAATGGGCCGCCAATTCAATTTCTGAGCCCAATCATTTCAGTCTGCTTATACCAAAAGGAACATCGAGATTCTTCTTCGCTCTGAAACACTTTCGTCGTTTTCATTTCATTTTATCATGGGTAGATATATTCGTGACTGTTGGTGATTAAATCATAAATCAGAGAGCATCTCGTGACGGTTAGTTGGCAGGAAGGAAATTATTGTGGGCGGGAACGAAAAAGCCAGAAAGAGTTTCATTTGGCGGTCTCCATTAAAATTTTGTCTCGTTGAAAATTCTAAGTGTCCGACCACTTTTATTCTTTGGCTTATATATATTTTTTTAATTAACTATGTGCTTTTTTAAGTTTACCAAACAGATTGACTCCCCTCTTCCTTTTTCTTTCTCTTCTCTTCTCTCTCGTTACCTAGCAAACTAGAAAATCTATTCTTCTCCACTTCGAAAAGCCCTACACAAGTCCTCTGCCACCAACCCCCACCCCGAATCCACATCCGTCTCGGCTTCAACTACGAGACCTACATATAGGGTCATCAAATCCTAGGCTAAGCCACAGCTCCTACTCAGGGCTGATCTAGATTACCCATGCATCCTTTGCTCTCCGGTCATCATTTCCCCTTTTTCCGATTGAGGCAGTCCACTATCCCCCTCTAGAACTCAAGCCATTCCTGGCCGTCATCATCTCTTTTAAGTCGTACCTCCTCCCAAGCTTCTCCACTTTGTTCGTTATCCATCATCGCTGCGCCTTCCACCTCGTCTCTTCATTCGGTGATGGCTTACCATGTTTTTTGTTTGGATTTCTAGATACTCATTTGGGGGGTCAAACTGCTATGGTCAACCATTCGTCGTTCTGGTTAGGGTTTTGGTTCCATCACCGGATTTCCAATTCCTTTGCTTCTGAAAGGTATTGTCTCGTCTCCTTTTTATGGTCATTTTTTCAATTATTGCGAAGTTCACTTCCGCGATTATGTAGAGAACTACATATAAACCATTTCTTATTGCTTAGTTAAGAAATTGTGTATGAAACAGTGAGGCAACGCAAGAAGTTGATGGCTGGAAATAGGCACAACAATTTAAGTAGAGTTCAATCTCAGCCTCAAAGTAAGAGATTTGTGTTTCAAAGTTCAAGCGTCTCATATGGTGGTGCTGGTGGAACTTACTACACTTCATCCAAGACAAGGAGAACAGGAAGTGATGGGGTGAGGTGAGGTTTCTAACTATGGAAGGTTATTGCAAGGTGTTGCTTTTGTATTCTTGTCTTGTATGTTGTTATAACTTTGACTCAAAACAGGTAACATTTGAAGAAAGCAAAGAAGCTTATAGTTCTACAGGCAAAGCATCTCATAGGATTTCTAGGGGGTCACACCACAACTAAATTATTTGTAGCTTTTATCGGTTTCTGCATCTATGGTGTATATGGATTTGATTGATGTTGTTTTTATCACTGCCCACAGGGTCATACCCTAGCATGTAAGCTTAACTCTGATGGGAATGTGGATTCACACTAGATCCTGCACAATATTGAGCAAGGTGAGCTTCCTAATTCTAACTTCTTAATTTTTGTCCCAGCATAATGTGCTATATAAACTAATTTCCCCCATCCGTGTTTCTAGATGAACTTCCTAGTTTTGAACAAGCTTGGACTGGCAATACTGGACCTCACTTCCTTGGCTGGGGAAGGTACTTCTGGGAGGATATGAGTAAGAATAATTGTGGCTTTATGTCTTTCGTTTTTGTTTCAACTGTACAAGATTCCTTTGCTCAAACTTTTCTTGAACTGTTTGTCCTTGTTCTTGATGTTTGGGACTGGAGAGAGTCAGTCGATTGTCAAGTTACTCAGGAATGTGCTGCTAGAACTTATACTGCTATTCTCCTTCACCTTTACCCTGTCCTCCCATCTCTAGATCTATTGCAGACCCCGTTATCTGCATTTGGCTACCCCTGCTTCATATATACACTAGAGTATTATCAATAATATTTTCATCTTTTTATTAGAATATATCAAGTAACAACAAAATAGACTTCTCATCACTTTTTGATTTGTTTTTTAGTTTTTGAATTGGCTACCGGAAGACAGTTTAGATGTTTGATGCAAGGTAAGACAGTTTAGAAAGGTAGACTGATTTTGGAAAGACAATTTAAGTGATTACAGTGTAAGACAGTTTAGATGTTTGATGCAGGGTAAAACAATTTAAGTGATTTCATATACTTTCATACCATTCATGTTGACATTTTGATTAATATAAGAACCTGAAGTATTAAGTTTACATGTTTGATGCACAATCCAGATAACTGAACCGAGTTTAGATTCTGCAGTTGTTTGCTCCTTTGATTTTAGAAGGTAGACTAATAATAGAATCCTTGCCTTTGCCCTCTTTTTGGAGCTCCCTCTAATCCAGTTGTGTGTCCTGTGTTCTCTACACATCATGGAGAGTGTCGATGCTTCTTGTGTGTCATGTGAAGGAAGCTAAGTACCAAATAGACAACATATATTGTTGCTTATGAAAGCAGGCTTAGGACACTGAATTCATATCATGTTATTCATATGTTGTTTTTGTTATTTGGAGAGTCTTGCAGCCAATATATGACAACTTTTTAGCAGATTTCTCCTTGGGCTAATTAATTTGCATTAGGTGGTTGTAGTATGCAGTAAGCTTTTTCACTTTCGGTACTCTCCTTTTTCATATCTCTTTTTATTTATAAATTTGCTGCTATTGTCATTTGTAGGATTCTTGTATAGGCTTAAACAAGTTCAAACAAACCCTAACACGAATCAAAACTAACCTAATTCAGCAAGGAAACAAAATTAAACAAGTAATCCGAGTTGGATTCGGAATCCTAGTGCTACACGGATTACAGTCGAGTTCATTAACTACATTGATGAACTCGACAATGACCCTAGCTCGTCGTTCTCAGCCAATTCCAGTCCTGGGTTTAGGAAGTGTTCTTCTTTGTGTTCTAACTCGAAGCAGCTCTTGATGGTACCCCAGACTTGAGATATAGAGCTTCAAAGATGGCTCCTCGTACCCGTCCCTTGCTTTAGCCAAAACAAGTCATTTCCCGGTTTTGGTCTAGCCACTTTGAGAGCTTTGACAATGCACTTCCAGGCTTCTTCCTGAACATCCAACCCCTCTAGCTTGTATAACAACTCCTAGTGTTTAAAACAAGCTTTCTTCCTCCCATTTTCATTACGTGACGTGCAAGCTACGACATCCCAAAGTTGGGTTCCAGAAACAACAAAAACATTTAGCCAAAATTTGTATCCTTTGGTGCTGGTGGACTTGATTACTTTGATGATCAATCCTAGATGGATATGAATGAATTCCAGGATTATATCAAAGTTTAAAATGAAGGTCATACTAAGTGGTACGAAAGGCGTGGAATTGTTTTTGTTGAAATATATTGAAAATGGATCTCATTTTGTAAATTAAAACAAACTTGTTTTATATGTTAAAAAAATACAGAAATCCAAATTACAACGCAAAATATAGGAGACAATTAAAAAACTAGGAAAAATAAAAACCTATTAATTCTCACCCATTATATATATGCTTTTCTAGCCTCATTCAAATATTAGGACCTTGATCTAGATATATTTTTTTATTCTCGAGTGATATCAAGAGAAGAGAAGACAAGAGTTAGACAAACAAAACTATTCAGGAACCCTTACAAGCGACACCCTACTAAAATCATTCAAAAAAGACGAAAGACTCTAACTCTATGAGAGACAACACCTTGTCGGATCTAGCTGGCGACCACCTTGCAATCACCTTCCACTATCACGTGAGTCAAGGATCTTGAGGTGATGAGGTGAAAGCATCTCTTACTAGTAGGAGCTCATGCATGGGTGGTTATGCACCCTATTATACATGTACCAAAATTTTGCGAGTTAATCCCATTTGGCCATTTCTGTTAAGTACACTGGCACCTTATTTTTAGAAACCCTTAATGTATAATTGTAACATGTAAGAAACTAGTCCTGCCATTCAGAGAAATGACGTTAAAAATCAGGTGTGTTTTTGTAGACTTGACCTTATTGAAGCAAAAAAAGCATTTTATAGGATCTAGAATCCAATTTCCCTAGCACTTCTAGCACTATTGTTGGAGATCGTCTAAAGGAATGATTCGAGTAAATGCGAATCCGGAATAATATATATAGAGTGAAGTCTTGTCACTTTTTTTTATAAGGGTGGTGAAAATGCATTGAAACTAAAAAGAGGGTACATCGAAACTACAAAGAAAAACGTAATGGTGAAGGTTCACAAGAGATGAACCAAATGTCACTACTCAAGGAGAGCAAATGAACTAGGCATGATTTAGTGGGCCAAGCCACTTCTATCAAGGACACCAGAAAAAGACCAGATAGTCAGAAACGAAAAAAACAAACTGACAGAAAACAAACCGAGGCTAGATGGATCCAGCCATCCCTGCACTAAAACGAACTAACAAAGACTAAAAGCACAAAATAACAAAACAAAGAAACAGCACTGCCAGCAAGGACATGCAAGAACGCTTAGATCACTTGATCGATCGACCCTTGCAAAATCGATAGCCTAAGCCATTGACAGACAAGACCTTATGAACCTTGTTATGGGCCACACACCAATCTGCTACGTTTCTTGTCACGTTAGATGACAAATCAACAAATTCGCTCACTTTTTTATTTATTGAAGTTACATTTGTGTTATTCATGCCATATTTGCGATATTCATGTAAGAGTGTTGATTATTCATACAACCAATATTGTTAGGTCATGCAAACTGATGTTTATCCACGGATATTATTATTTATTCACGACATTGTTAAATAAAATTTTAAACATTGAAATATATGAAAATTGATGTCATTGTGTAGATTATGATTAATGCAACATATTTTTAAAGATTAATTGAGAATCCAAATTTAATTCCATAAAATATAGCCAATACAAATTATTAGGGGGAAAAGTATGATTTTCCATTTACGTGAATAACTTACACTCTTACATGAATAAACATAATATTACGTGAATAAACAACAAAATGGGGTAAATGAGAAAAAAAAATACATAAACAAAATTAGTCTTAGGTGTATTGACACCTAACATGACAACAAAACTTTTTCATATTTATAATTTTCAGTTAACAAGGCTGACCCGTTAAACTTGATGCAACTTGTGAGGGGTAGCCAGTCAGCACACCTGCTCTCCAACATCGGTTAGAACTTAGATGTTCCGTCATGCATGCTACCACAATTAATTAACTAGCTAGGCTGAAAATCATCTCCATGATTCAGCTCATTATCTAGTTAACCATACATACATGCCAAGTTGGTGTTATCAGCTATATATACGCTGCGGCTAACGTTAATAAGCTGTCAAATGTTGATCCAGATCAATAAATACTTAATCAATAATCTAAAGAATAAACTTTCATGAGCTTCACCGCTTAACCAATATAGTGGATAAGTTTATGTTGGTTTCATTTTTATGTAACGAGCGACCATATCGGTTGAGCTCGGATGATTCATTCGTACGATATTAATGTTCAATTTAGATCAAGTCGGCTTAGTTTATTTTTGGGTTCTTTCCCAAAACACCTCATACTAATAGAACTTGTACACAGTAGACACTGATTTATAAGAGTTTTTACTCTTATATGGATAGATTGGATGTCTATCATAAAACCGCCCTTGGGATGGGTGTCGAAATGTTTCATGCATCATTTTTCAATTCTATTAACTTAGTCTCGGTAATATAAGAATGGATTAGGTGTACCAATCAATATCGATAACTTGAGAAATCGTCACTTGAACAAAGTCTCCATTTCACAGCATGCGTAGAACCGGTAAAAATTAAGACTATATCAATGAAGTTTTATGTTTCAATAATCCATACGAATGCTGGGTTATTGTTCCTCCAAAGTCAACATGAGACTAGTTCAACTGCATGTTACTGATTGTAATCTATAAATAGCCAGCAATCCGGGTAGGATATCTCACTCTTCACCAACAAGGCAACAACAAAGAAACTGAGATATCCACACGATCCATCGAGTAGTAGCTCAAACATTGATAGGTAGCATTATGGGAGGAGCTTATCAGCTGCGGGTTGCTGCTACTTTTCTTCTTATTGCTGGAATTGCTTCGATTGCGGCGGCATTCGATCCAAGCCCTCTTCAGGACTTCTGTGTCGCCATTGACGACCCCAAGCTCGGTGGTATGCATCCACTCCTCAATCTTCTTTCTAGCAAATTAAATTCACTACTCCTAGCTGTATATACCATGTGTTGGTTTACTTTCCTAGTAATTTCATGCTTGTCGTTTGGCTAAATGTTCACGTCTTGTGTATATGTAAGCAGTTTTTGTGAATGGGAAGTTCTGCAAGGACCCAATGCAAGCCAAAGCTGACGACTTCACATTTAGTGGACTCGATATGGCAGGAAATACATCCAACGCAGTTGGCTCCAACGTCACTTTGGTTAATGTCGACCGACTCAAAGGGCTCAACACTCTTGGTATCTCTTTGGACTAAATACAGACAGAGCATCCAATGGAAACCCGAGCCTTGTTGGAGCAAGCAGAACTCTTAGAGACACTAACAGAAGATGGATCAGTGATTTTGTGGCAAGCCTAGGTATTTGTTCAGCTGCAATTACGGAGCTTTGGGGCCTTTACCACATTCCGGATCTAGCATGGAAGCAAGGATGCACAATGATTTTAGTGGAAACATACTCCCATCTAGCTATGGCGCGCAACTCTTCACGATGGCATTTGGAGGAAGCTAACTAAGTATTGGGTGGTTCGCATAGTATAGGGGTCATACATGGTAAGTAATTAGGATAATTTTTTCTCTGATCGTTTCAAATCTCACTAAATATTTACTGAAGATCTTGATCTTTGTCGAAAACCTTCGTTGAGTTTATGTAACCTAATTCGCCATGTTTGGATTGCCGCGCTCGAAAGCCTAATTTCGAGCGCAAAAACCGAAATATAGTGTGATCGCCCTGAATTCGCAAACTCACTTTCACAAGAGCGCGAATTTGCTTCTTACCTCTCTCCTTGTTGCCCTCGCCTGCCACCATACCATCGCCGCTGTCAATTCTAACCATGCCATCGTAGAGACTTGTCGTTGCCTTCTGTCGTCTTTTTCCCAGTTTGCCGGAGTCGCCTCTCTAGCTATTAGTGACCACACATATATATAGGAAATACCCAAAGTGTGTCCACTGCTTCGCGTGGTTCGTGATGTTGGGGAAGATAAGTTCGAATTGGATGCGCTTTTAGATGAAGCTCTGCTCTTCAGGAGGCGATCCCCCACATATTCCGGGAGTGCCCTCCTTATCTGATCAATGCACCCTGATTTCAAGAAAACAGAAAACGATGTTACTCGCTTCACACCTCTTCAAACACTGTTCGAACGAGGGTGTTCGATGCATACATCCTAGGATCTACTTACTATTACCTCTACTCCAATGGAGATTCCTTGAGAGCTCCGCAACTACTAACTACAACTAACAGAGAAGCCTCATTGGAGGGCCCCTGTTGCTACTGCTACGGTTAGTGTTCTAGAGAGAGAAATATAAATTTTGACGAGACTGATTTTTATTTTTTTTGCCTGTCCCTCCTCCCTAGTCTTGCTGCAAGTTTTGTTGTGTCTTTCCCTCTAACCGCCTTCTCTCTTTCTCTTCCTCGAAATCAGCTCCACATAGCATTCAGTAACTCCTCCGAGCATCCTTTGCAAGTCAGTTGTTGCTTCTAGTAACCACCTTCAACACGTCATCATGTCCCTAGACAATCAACCTTACGTACCATGGATGAACAATTTGATGGTCACCATACACCAAAGAAAATGGATGGTATCCCTGTTGTTAGATGGCACCATCCACTTTGAGTTTGAATGGTGTCCATTATATTTGGGATGGTGTCCCTGATCTTCGATGGTACCATATGTCCTAGGGTTTGGATAGTGTCCGTGATGTTGGGCATTACCATCCATAATGGGATTTTGATGGTGTCCATAATGTTGGATACTACCATCCATAATGGAATTTGGATGGTATCCATAATGGGATTTGGATGATATCCATAATGTTGGACACTACCATCCATAAACCCTACGACCCATCTTGTTAAATTGGACCATCCATGTACAAATGAGCCAACTACTTAAAGTGGCCAAGCTGTTAATACATGTAATAATTAATGAAAATTATTTTGGTGTAAATAGGAATGAAGCTTGGAGAGCTTCGAGTCTTTTGATTGGAAGGAACAGAGCCTCTCCTCAACCGGAGACTGCCGAGATCGGGAAGAAACCTCCTCCACAAGGCTAGTTGAAACTAAATATAGACGGAGCATCCAATGGAAACCCGGGCCGTGTTGGAGCAAGCAGAACTCTTAGAGACACTAACAGAAGATGGATCTGTGATTTTGTGGCAAGCCTAGGTATTTGTTCAACTGCAATTATGGAGCTTTGGGTCCTTTACCACATTCCGGATCTAGCATGGAGGCAAGGATGCATAATGATTTTAGTGGAAACAGACTCCCATCTAGCTATGGCGCGCAACTCTTCACGATGCCATTTGGAGGAAGCTAACTCAGTTTTGGGTGGTTCGCATAGCTCATATGTATCAATAAGGAAATAGAGTCGCGGACAGGATCTTGAAGAACAACCTCATCTATGCCTACGAAACGTATAAGCTTGAGACACCACACCAAGGAGTTCGCAAGATTTTCTGAGAGATGATGATAAGGGAGTGACATCTATCCCATGTACCTCTACTTCTCGTTTTTTTTTGTCCCTGTGCTTCCCCTTGTTGCAAAAAAATAAATATATATATATATATCTAAATTGATGCACTATAATATAGGGGTCATACATGGTAAGTAATTAGGATAATTTTTTCTCTGATCGTTTCAAATCTCACTACTTATTTACTGAAGATCTTGATATTTGTGGAAAACCTTCGTTGAGTTTATGTAACCTAATTCGCCATGTTTGGATTGCGGCGCTCGAAAGCCTGATTTCGAGCACGAAAACCGAAATTTAGTGAGATCGCCCAAAATCCGCGAACTCACTTTCGCAAGAGCGCGAATTCACTTTCGCAAGAGCGCGGATTTGCTTGTTCCCTCTCTCCTTGTTGCCCTCGCCTGCCACCACACTACAAAAAAGACAGTCATTACCGACGTCACGTTTTTCGTCGAAATAAATGAGTTGGAGTAAAAAATGACCTTTACCGACGTCATACAGTCGTCGGGCGTCGTCAGAAAATGCCCCGTCGCTAATAATATATTACTAACAAGACGTCGGAACAAAATTATTATCGACAACATAAAATTGTTAGAAATAAAATAAATAACATCAGAAATGAAATTGCTCATGACGGCTAAAGATGATGAAGATTTTATTGACGGCAAATTTATTCATTTTTTACGAATGATATGCGTAAATAATAAAGAAATTTTGAATAGCTGTCGGTAATACTACTTATACTAACATCGACAAATCGTTGCAAACAAATATTTGTAACGAAAAATTTGAGGTCGATGATTTTTTTAGACACTGTATGCACATTTGTGAGATTGTTAGTGTGTCAATAATATATTTTTCTCGATAGACAGTTAGAAATATGATTTTTACTGATGCCAACAAACTTTCATTAAAACTACAGTATACTCAACGTGACGTAAAAAAAGTAGATACACGGACGGAAATAATTTATTCCTGACGCATTGTACATTATTGCTAAGTCGAATGATTTTTTATGCCTCGTCAAAATTACAATGAAATATGAATTTCTAATCAATTTGCCACTATAACTAAATACATTAGTGTTATAGGTATATCATTAAATAAAATTACCAATACAATGCTATTACATAATAATCTATATAATTATTACATTTCTACAACAGTAAAAGAAATGAAGCGCCTAATCTAAATAACTATTACCAACAATCACATCCCTCGTCGCCGTTCTTCCTCCGCCGCCGGTGAGGTGAAGTCTTCCGTCAGTGAGGTGGAGTCCGCCGGTCCTCCATGATTAGAAACACCAAATATACAAACAAACAAAAGGAAAACCTAGAAACCTTGTCTAAATTGACCAATAAGAAGGATCCAGGATAAAAGAAAACCAAAAACAAAAATAAAATCCCACCGAGAAAAGGGTCGTAGTCAACCTTCGCCCATCAGTGGTGCCCCTTTCCTCTCCGTCGATGACATTCATCTATCTTCTTCATGATTGAAGTCCCAAAAATGACAAAAGAAACATAGAATATGTCTGGTACGAAAAGAAGAAGGCGAGTTCAGTAGAAAGAATAAGATGATTTGGTTGCCGGCTACGAACATAAGCAGAACGAGAGGTAATGAACAGAAGCAGGCGGAGAGATCAAAAGGCAGAGGGTGAAGACGAGAGGGAATGGAATTTTATTTTTGTCTGCCTTTACTTCTACATAGTTTGGTTTTGCTTTTTAAAAGAGAAGAGAGGAAAGAGAAGGTTGCGAATTTTTTGAAGGGAAGATGAAGCGTCGTGCGGCGGCATTAGAAAAGAATGGATTAGTGTGAATGAGATAATTAAGCGAATCCAAAATTAAGAAATTGACGACGGATTATAGGAGATATACGAAGGTGAGGGGAGATGAAGAAGAAGAGGTACCATTCATGAATGAAAAAGAAGGGGCTACTCTTTTAAGAAATAGTTACGCGAAAATGGAGAAGGAGTAAGAAAGAAAGGAGGTCCCAGGTTCGAATCCCTTAAGTAGTGCCTTAATTACAAAATGAAACCTATATCACTCTTATAAGAAAAAAGGAGATGAAAGACATAGGGACACATTTGGAAATAGAAGGAAGAAAATTTCCACGGTCCAATTCCCATACCCTTTTTGCGCAGCCAAACGTGGGGTTTTAACCCAATTACTGCATTATGTGGTAATTGGGTCCAATTACTGCATTAAATTTCCACATCCAAACGACCCCTAGTCTTCCTCTTCCCGGCTAAATCGTAGTAATTCTCCTCACGCAAAAAAGTAAGCATGAGTTTAAATTTAAAATTATGTTAGTTATTTGATATTTATGCTTCGATTATATCAGTACGTTGAGAAGCCAACTCGAGTGTAGGGTTTATCGATGAAATATTAGAAAAGAATTAATGAATAGAATAGAAACACACAAGAACACTTTTGATATTTTACGTGTGGAAGCAAAGGCGTCTTTTAGAAGATGGATTCTCAATGAATATTGCTTCTACTGTTTTTGGCGTCAAAAATAATTTGTCCTTACCAAACAGTATTGACGAACTGTTTATGGCGTCAACAATCATTTTTTTTCCAGATCAAATAGTACTTACGAACTTTTAATTGTGTCAAAAATAATTTTTATGACCAATTAGTGCTGACGAACTATTTATGGCGTCAAAATTAATATTATTTTGACAATCGTGTCTTTGTCGTTAATAATAATCATTTTTTCTGACGATAATATTTTATTTGTCAGTAATATTGAGTATTTCTAACGCGGAAAATGATATCGTCAAAAATAATGAGTGTTGGAGATTAAAACCGGCCCAAAATACATATTAATGACGAAAAAATTACAAGTATTGAAAAAAATTCTACTCTGACAGTAATGTTGCATATAGTACTGACGAAAATTGTTGTTCGTCGGAATTATGCACCTTTTTCAACGCAATTACTTAGTCGTCAGTAAGTTTTCGTCGCAATTGTCTGCCTTTTTTGTAGTGATACCATCGTCGTTATCAATTTTAACCATGCCATCGTAGAGACTTGTCGTTGCCTTCCGTCGTCTTTTTCCCAGTTCGCCGGAGTCGCCGCTCTAGCTATTACTGACCATGCATTAAGATGACTGTGTTCCTACCTCCAAACTAGTAGATTTTACAC